ACAAGGAGGATGAAACATGTGTTTAGGTTTTGGAATACCCCTCTTCTAAAACAATAACATAATCTATAGTTTTAAATGGATCATAATTTGTTTGTGTTTAACGTGATCTTGTATTAAACTAATCACATAACGAATCAATTTTGATTTGATTAAATTTTTTTTAAAATTATTAATGTCTATATTAAAATAATTAATTAAAAAATTTTCAAAAATTAGAAATAAAAATATTTTTTAAATTTAAACTCTATTAATAAAAATAATTATTTCAAATATAATAATATAATATATAAATTATAAGAAAAAAATATCTATTTAACAGAATTAAAATATTATTTTTTATTATTATAATTTATTTTTTATAATTTATTGACATGAACTAATCATCAATGAAATAACATGATATTAGACACTTACTTTTTTATATATTTTTACAATATGTAAATTTTTTTATCAAATTAATATATATATATATATATATATATATATTAATGAAATAATATTATTTTATAAAACAAATAACCAATAAAATTCAATTGACTTAAATATTAAATTATATTTAATTCAATTCAAGTTATAAATTCTTTAATATAACTTAATCTATTTTCGAATGTTTAGGCCGAAACTTTATATTGATAATCTCGTTCATTTTACTCATCATCCTCGTACGCTATTGCTTACCGTCAATCAAATCCGAATTTATTTATTTTATACAGTAATTGGTCTACGAATTATTTAAATTTGTTTTATTATTTTGAAATCTTCGGAAATCTATGGAAAAAATCCAGTCTTCACCTAAAAATCTTTCATTTTAATATTACGGGGGATCTTGTAAAGAATCTTACCGGAGAAGGACCGAGCAATGAAGATTAGCCATAGCACTACTTATTTGAAGTAATAACAATGATATTTATCTTAGAACAGTCTACTTATGTACACAAAAGATTACGTGTCATTTCCCACCGCACAAGACTTGATGATAAATTTATGTCAGATTTGAGACATAACCAACATAAATTTACTTTAGCTCATATATATCTCAAACTCAACATAAATTTCACCCTTTTTTTTAACATTCTATTTATTTTATCTTATAACATTCTAGATTTTTAATAGATAAAACTAATACAAAGACTATCATAAATATCACAAAATTAAACTAATTTAAAAATTAAAATTAAATTAAAAATACATGATATTAGAAGATGGATGAATTTTGAAATATTTAACATTAATTTGACTTATGTTAAAATATAATACGCATAAAGGTAAGTAAATTTAACAAATATTAAAAATAATTACTTCCGTCTAAAAATCAGTTATACCAGTATAAACTATTGTTCTCATCCAATACATAATATAACAATGTGTATTGAATTGAGAAACAAAACATAACATAATATTATTTTCAAAATTGAAATACAAAGAGTATATATATTAAAATAATATAAAATTTTTCCTTTTCACTATTTTTGTCTATTATATATGCTCATAAACATATATTTGGAAAAATTGTTGTGACAAATTCCTTTTCGGGATTCATCCTCTCTTCCATTTTTGCCCTTCATTTTTATAAATCCGACATTGGAGTCAAAACATATCTTGCTTAAAATATATTTCTTTTTTTTTTCATCATGGCATCTTAAACCTTAAACCCTATATACTGTAATATACAAATTACAACAAAAGTAGGATTCAAATATATAAATAGATAATCCACTCAAACTCATAAATGAATAATCACAAATTACAACACTTCAATCCAATGACAATCTAGTGGAGACATTTAATGTCAACATAAAAGAGGAGACGAGACACATAGAATACTAATATCAAATATATAAAAAATGCTCAAAAACTCGAATTTAATTAGAAAGAAACGTCAACTACCACAAATGAGACACAATATAGATGTTTTTATCACTCACTGTGTTTAAAATATATCTTGAGAGAAACTGATTTGATTACTACCATCACTCGAAAATCCTCGTGCACAAGACGGAAAAAAAATCCTAACAAAATTAAAATGTAATTTTTATGTCGAACCTACTACAACGGAAATTGGCTTTCGTGACGACACTTTAGATAGAAATTATTAAAAACCGCTTTTAAAAATACATATTAGATAGCGGTTAGGAGTAAAACGCTTTCTAAAGTATGTTTTAATAGCGATTCAGAAAGAACCGCTTTCTAAAGTAATTTATAATAACGGTTATGTGATAACCGCTATCTAATGCCATAACTTTAAATAGCAGTTGACACTTGGAACCACTATCATAACTTTAGATAGTGATTACTTTGTAGAACCACTATAATAAATGTAGTTTAGATAACGATTATTTGGCGAACCACTATCTAAAGTTATATTTTTAAAAACCCTAAACCCCCTTTTTTCAACCTCGCGCTCTCTGTTTCTGCGTTTTTTGCCGCTCTCCGCGTCTCCCATTAAACTAAAGGTACGTTCTCTCCTTCTCGCTCACTTTGTGCTCTCCCACTTGTTCTGGGTTCTCTCCATTTCCCTCTGTGTCTTCAATCTCTCTCATTCTCTTGCTCTCATTACTCAGTTGGGTATTACAACTCCATTGAATCATATTTGTGTGTTTCCAAGTTCGCGTTCCAGTCTTCATTCATCATTGTTGTTGTAGGACGCGTTTATTGGGAGGTCTACAATAGGTTAGTGCATTATATATTTTTTAGGCTTTTATTTGATTTATTATAGTATAATTATTTGAATTAATGTGATATTGGATACAATTTGCACCCCTATTTTGATTCTGATACATTTAGTTAAATTTTAGGGTGAGTGTGAATTATAAATTACAATTTAAAATTAGTATTTTAATTTATTAATATCTTAGTTTGGTCTGAATTGTTTATTTTTCATCCTGAAATTGTGTTTTGAAATAAAATATAGGTTGACTAGGATATATACTTGGTTTAGTGTGACCCTGAAATATTTTGTATTAGAGATTATGTATGATGTTTTTGCTGATAGTTTTAGTAATTTTAGATGCTTGTTAAATGATATTACTATATTTGAACTTGAGTGAACCTTTAGTTTCCCATTTGAGTCTCTAAATAATGATTTAGGATCATTATTTTGAAACTCAAATTGTCCCAATTTGGACAGTTTGAGAAAAAAGTTTTCCTTGAAGAATAATTATCTAGGTAATTGATTAAAATGTTATTTGTTATAGTTGGTAAAGTTTATTCCTCACTTTGTATTGTGTTCAATAATTTTAGTTCTCATTAGATGCTAATTGCTATCAATACTCAGGATGAGACATTGTATTATTTTGATTCATTACACCGTCACTATAAGCACAGAACACATATGCTCAATATTTTTAACATGTAAGTAAACTCATATGACCGTTTCGCATGTGAATATCTAATATGGTAAGATATTTATATTATCTTCTTGCTATTTCAGTGCCCTACTTGCATATAGAGCTGAAATGAGGCTTCGAATGCCAAAGATAAAGATGAATCAAACAAGATGGGTCGGTGTATAGGTATCAAGTGTACCCCAATTCATGTTTTCATACATGCTTATTTCACTTGGTGATTATTCTAAACTATCTTTATGTTTTTTGGTCTACAATTCGTCCTAAAAAAATGAACTCAGATGACTGTGGATATTACTAGCCTTATTTATTGGAGATGCACTGCAGCATGGACAAACTACTATTCCAGTTAACGTAAGAACCATTTTTGCATTATGGCTATGTTTATATGAAAGAATAATGCATTGTCATTATTTATCTAATTTGGTATTTAACTTTTGTGATTCTTTTCTATGTTTGTAGTATTTTCCAAAATCTCACTTTGCTACCTTTCTGGACCTTAGAATTGAGCAGCTACAAAAGGAATAGTGTGCATATTTCTACCACACATTTTTGAAGGACAAAATCAGCACTATACACTCTTAGGGATTTTTTTTAATCATTTCAATTATTTGATGTATATGTACCAATTTTGTTTCATGCAAATTTTAGTTTTAATTTGTCAAATTTTAAATTGTTTTTCTATGATTCTGTGAATATATATTGTATATTGGCTGGATTTTGTTGGATTAATTTGATATATACCCTGAAATTGTGGTCTAGGTACAAATTATCAGGAAAAAATTTTGAATTTTAAAATTTAAATAATATTTTTTAATTGGAACTTTAGATAGCGGTTCCCGTAACCGTTATCTATATATACTAAAAGAGAATGATTCTAGAACTAACCACTATTAAAAATATATTTTAGATAGCCGTTGTCGTTTTAACCGCTATTATATGTGTCATTTTTATGAGTTTACATAACAATTTTACGTTAATCGCTATTATATTTTATTAATGATAACTATTAGTTAACCACTATCTAAACATCATTCTTTTATTAGCGTTTTATTTAATAATATTTTTAACCGCTATAATAAAATATAGCGAACCACTATTATATGTTTTTTATGTTGTAGTGCTAATAATAGTGATGACGTTTTATTTAATAATATTTTTAACCGTTATAATAAAATATAGCGAACCGCTATTATATGTCTTTTATGTTGTAGTGCTAATAATAGTAATGTAAAAACAGTATTTTACTTGAGAACCACTTGGTAAAAAATAATTTTTATATCTATCTTTGAAAGATATGACCTAAAAATAGCATTTATTCTCTATAAAAATATCATCATATTTATTAAAATTGATTATTTTTATCTGACAAAGTAGGTACCCGAAAAGGACCGAGCAATAAAGATAAGCTATAGTACTATTTATTTGAAGTAATAACAGTTGACATTTATCACGGACGAGTTTAACTACACAATACCACCGTAATTTTTTTTTCCTGCATTTATTACCATTGCTGTAGAAAATTTAATGTAAAAATTACATTAATTTGAAAATGCCATGAATATCTGAATCTCAGCCACTCAGAATAAATATGCAGGACTTATAGCTGACAAGAGATTAAGAGCTGGAAGTGTTTTGTTGATTCAGAGAAAGAGCATGGAAAAGTTCTTCAACCCATCAGGAACTTCACTTTTGGTACCATCAGTTCAAGAGTTGGCTAAAGAGAGTATATCTAATCTTCCACAAAGATATATTCAGCCTCAACATGGACAAGAAATGGTGCTCACTCAAGAACTTAATCATACCCTTCAGATTCCAGTAATTGACATGCAGAGGTTGCTTTCTCAACAATCTGGGACTTCAGAATTGAATAAGCTTCACCTTGCTTGCAAGGAATGGGGATTCTTCCAGGTCATTTTAGTATTATCTTTCTGTACTTCAAATTATTTGTAACACATGCTTCTGTCTTGTCAAAGTTGGATTCGACTGTGGTCCAATTTTGTTCAGGACAATTAATTTGAATTTTAAATTTTTTGAGATCCTCATCCTCTACTTTTTGGACCCTAAACGTCAGTTATAATTACTTGGAAGAACAATTAATTTTGAATTTTACTGTTTTTTTTATGTAGCTTATAAATCATGGGGTTAGTGATTCCTTGGTGGAGAAAGTAGAGTTGGAGATTAAGGAATTCTTCAACCTTCCAATGTCAGAGAAGAAAAAGTTTTGGCAGAGTCCAGAACATATGGAGGGATTTGGACAATTATTTGTTGTCAGTGAAGATCAAAAACTTGATTGGAATGATATGTTCTTTATGACCACCCTTCCTACACAATCCAGAATGCCCCACTTATTTTCACAACTCCCTCTTTCTCTCAGGTTCTATTTTTCTATATGGTCACAATTTTTTCGTGGACGTGTTTATATCTATCTAGATTATTATTAATTACTCTTGTCATAGTACCAAAGAAAATTCAAATTTAAATTGTTTAAATCTTATAATTTAAGAAAAAAAAAAAAGCCATGTTCACAGCCCAATTGGTCTTTGTTATGCAGAGAAACACTAGAGGTTTATTCAGAGAAAGTGAAAGATCTAAGCACGATGATAATTGGGCATATGGGAAAAGCTTTAGGGATAGAAGAAATGGAATTGAGAGAAATGTTTGAAGATGGGATACAGACGATGAGGATGAACTATTACCCTCCCTTTCCTGAACCAGAAAAGGTGATTGGTATCACAAATCATTCAGATGCAGTAGCTCTAACCATCCTCTTACAACTCAATCAAGTTGAAGGACTGCAGATAAGAAAAGATGGCAGGTGGGTTCCTGTTAGGCCCTTGCCTAAAGCCTTTGTTGCTAATGTTGGTGACATCATGGAGGTAAATATATGTATAAACTTGTTCTTCGAAAGAATCATATCCATGAATACAAATAGTCTCAAACAATAACAAAAGTATTTATAATCATAGAAAACTTACGGTTTTTCTTTTTATATATGTGATGTATATTAATGAGATTTATTTGTAATTTTTATGTTATATATAGATTATTACAAATGGAATATATCGAAGTATTGAGCATCGTGCAACAGTGAATTCTGAGAAGGAAAGACTTTCATTAGGAACATTTTATAGCCCTAGACATGATGTTGAAATAGGTCCTTGGAAAAGCTTGATCACTGAAGAAACTCCACCACAATACAAAAGAATTAGAGTAGATCAGTATTTTAAAGAGTTTTTTGCTCGGAAACTTGAAGGAAAGTCTTACAGAGATGCCATGAGAATGGAACATAATTGAAGTGATATGAAGAAGAAGAACTCAAAATGGATTATGAAGAATTGCGGTCAATGCTGAACAAGAGGAAAAGTAAAAGGGAATGGAAGTAGTCCAAGTACATGCAATATTATATTATCACTTATATTAAGCGCAATATCATTCGAAACGAAATAAATTTGTTTAGATATTATGATATAAAAGTTATGTTATATGTATTTTCTTTTAATTAATAATTGAGAATAATCTTCAATGATTGACTTCTTTTTTATTTTTATATGTTTTTATTTAATGTTTTTTTTCTTTTTACAGTAATATAATGAGGTTTTTAGTATGTTATTTTAGTTTTTTTTCATTAAAAACAAATTTGACCTTAAATTTACGTTAAATCAAGGATATATCCAACATAAATTTTTGTAGAATTTTGAGACATATTCGATGTAAATTTATATCGGACTTGGGATATATAACTGATCTAAATTTAGGTCAAAAATATCTCGGGTCCAACGTAATTCTTTTTTTTGTCTTACGGTTAGTAAAAAATATAACAATATAATATAATACAAAGACTAAAATAGTAAAAATACTAAATTACTTAAAAGATAAATATTACAAAACTAAAGGTAAACATTACTAAAGTACTTAAAATTAGTACAAAGTCTAAATTATATAAAAACTAAGTAATTTAAATGTTAAACTACATAATATAATACAAATAATAACCTACAAATTAAGTGCTAGAAATATTGAACGAAAAATCTTACTTATTGTTCTCTTATTTGTGTAATATTATGTTCTAATAATAGAGATGAATGAATCTTGAAATACCTTAAACATTAATTTGACTCTTGTTAACATGTAATACACATAAAGGTAAATAAACTCAACAAATGCTGAAAGCAATTACCTTCGTTCAAGAATCATTTATACCTGCACAAACTTTTGTCTATTATGGAGCATATTTTGAAAAAATTATTTTCATATGTTGTGTGTCCAAATCCAACATCGGAATCAAAAGTTACCCATCTTCAAACATTTTTTGTTTTCTTTTGATCATCATAAAACCCTAAACCCTATATATTGTAATATATTCTCTTCACATGGTACCATATTATAATTCAAACTACAAATAACAAAAAACGTAAAATTTAAACAACTAAACCATGAAAACATAAAAATGCAGTGTATAAACCGTAAATCCATTCAAACAAACTACACCAACAATTCAATTTCAATAACAATTCAGTGGAGACATTCAATCTCAATAACGTGATTGAAATCTCAAAAAATAATCACAGATTCAAAGAACATTAATTTTAAATAATACAACAAATGCTCTAAAACTTAAATTCAATCAGAGAGAAACATCAACCACTACAAATGAGACATAATGTAAGTATTTTCATCACTCACTAGTCGAGATGTATCTTGAGAGGAGTTTATTTAATCGCTATCGCTATCATCACTTAGAAATCCTTGCACGTAAGAGGAAAAAAGAAATCCTAGAAAAAAGAAAGACAGTGGTTTTAGAAAAAATCAACTTTGGCCATTGCAACCAAAGTCGGGTAAGGGAGTTAGTTACGTGTGGGGAAGGTGTTAGCACCCCACAACGCCCCTTTCGGGTTCCCTATGATGGACTAGTTTAGAAAAATAAATACTTAAAGAAATTATGCTTCTACCCTATTATTCTATCTACTTGCAGAATTTACATTTCTACACGGCCCTATTATCTAATGCATACAAGGAAAGCGATAAAGAAAACAGTAAAAGATAAGAGATATGAAAGAGAACCTCCGAAGCGAGCTTTTATATATCTCAAACTTGAGGACGCTTTTTGGCAGTCCCCGCACTCTACAGAGTCACTCCTCCCTCGAACAAAAAATAAGAGTATCACCCTACCAAGGACCAGACGTCTCAACAGGAGACTTCCTTAACCAATTTCTACCTTAAACGGAAATTGGAAAGCTCACTCGAACTCTGGAATAATGCTCAGAGTCACTCTAAAGTGCCAAAAGGCTTCCTAAAGAGTGTAAGAGTGGAGAGGTGTGTGAAAAAACATGAAATGAGGCTCCTATTTATAGGGGAGCGAGCCTAGGAGGGTGGACGGCCGTCTAGACATCATGGACGGCCGTCCATGGCTCAAAATTAGGGTGGACGGCCGTCTGGTCATCATGGACGGCCGTCCAGGGCTCAAAAACAGGGTGGATGGTCGTCTGGTCGTCATGGATGACCATCTGGACACTCTGGATGACCATCTGCATGTTCTGGATGCTTTGGACATTCTAGACAGCCATCTAGACATTCTGGACAGCCATCTGGACATTCTGGATAGCCTTCTGGACGTTCTGGACAACCATCTGGACGCTCTAACAAAATTTTATTTTTTATTTTCTCATAAAACCCTCCTTTTCCTAAATGAAGCCTAGTAAACACTACTAAGGGCCTTATGAAGCCTTATTCATCTTCAGAACAAAGGATTTCTAGTCTTTATTGCGAGGCCGGGCAAGATTTGGGGTCTACAGTCCATTAATTACAGAAAAAGAATGGTCTAACTTACATGATAAAGAGAAAAGAAAAGTTCAAAGTGATTGTACTACTAAGAATATAATTACTTTTGCACTAAATATAGATAAATTTTTCAGGGTTTCTCAATGCAAATCTGCCAAGGAAATGTGGGAAGTTCTTGAGGTTACTCATGAGGGAATGACTGATGTGAAGAGAGCTAGAAAGCATACTCTCATAAGAGAATATGAGTTGTTTAAGATGCAAACTGGAGAAGGAATTGCAGATGTGTAGAAACGCTTTACTCACATCATCAATCATCTAATGGGCTTAGGTAAGACTTTTGATAAAGTGGAATTGAATATAAAAGTTTTGAAATGTCTTGACAGGTCATGGTAGCCTGAGGTCACAACAATATCAAAGTCAAAAGACTTGTCTATCATGACAACAACTTCCTTATTTGGCAAACTCAGAGAGCATGAGATTGAAATTAACTGATTCAATGAGCAAGAAATCTCTAAAAAGAAAGGTAGAAGCATAGCGCTCAAAGCTGAAGAGAAAGATCAAGAATTAGAAGAAGAAAGTGAGAATCTTGGACTATTGGTCAAAAAGTTCAACAAGTTTCTCAAGAGAAAGACCCAAGATAAAGAAAGACATAAAAGGTATGAAAAGAAATCTGATTCTCTTAACTATAAGTGCTATGGTTGTGGTAAGCAGGGTCATGTAAGGATGGAGTGTCAAGAAAAGAACAAGCACAATGACAAGAAAGAAGAATAGATCAAAAGAAGAGCATACATAGCATGGGAAGATAATGATACCTCATCAACAAAAAATTCTGATGATGAAGAAGCTAACTTGTGTCTAATGGCTAACTAGAATTATCAAACCAGCAGTGTAAGTTCTAATTCTTCTTCTAATTTCATGAATTATAACTCACTGCAAGAAGCATTTAATGAAATGCATGAAGAAACCAAGAAACTTAAAAGAGAAAATGATAGGCTAAAAGGCATGAACAACTAGATAGAAAATAGAGTTGATTCCCTTGAAAAGAAAATTCTTGAAGATGAAACTGATCTTGGTTACCTAAAATTAATTCATGATAATTCTGATTGTATGTGTAACATGATCAAACATTTTGAAGAATGCCTAGAGTTACAAAAGAAAATTGAATATCTTTTACAAACTATTTCAAAGTTTACACAAGGAAAAACTAATGTTGATGTTCTTCTTGGTTCACAAAAACTTGTTCTTGATAAGACTGGTATTGGTTTTAAATCAAGATTAAAAACCAGAAAAAATTGCATATAGAAAATCATACTCATCATATTTTATCAAATGTTTCTATTGCATGAAAAGAGGTCACTCAGTTAAATTCTACAAAACTAAGAAGTATATTGTACCAAAAGGATGAAGGAAGTGGGTTCCCAAGAATTCATTTCGAATAACTTGATTGGACCCTATAATTTTAAAAAGGGTACCAGATTATGCTAAATTTGTTTCGCAGGAACAAAAATCTGGAGATCCTTTGGTACCTGATCAACAAATATAAATTCTGGACTCATGGACTAATTATTTTAATTGATATAAAACCATTTTTAATTGATTAAATTCACTAACAGAGAAATTTTGAAAAGTTGTCCGTACAATTTTAATCAATTATTCATCAAATTAATCGATTAAAACATCTCAGGTTTACAACTAATATTCCAGATATCTGTTTTAATCGATTAAAAAGGATTTACATCAGTTAAAATCATTAAAGAGTTAAATTTAATCGATTCTTTTTCGTTTTAATCGATTAAAATTATGTGATCATTTCATTAAACATATTCAGAACAAAAATAATCAATTATTTTATGTTTTAATCGATTATTACACTGTTGTTATTTCAAACCTAATATTCCAGATCAAATTAATTGATTAATTTGATAATTAATCGATTAATTCGCTCTTGGAAACTACTATAATATGGTTTAATTACAGAATTTTCAACAAATCAAAAGTTAATTTTTTCAAAGATTTGTTTTTATCACTTCTGCAAAAAGCATTTAATGTGCTTGTTGACCAAGTCAATATCTACCCAAGAACATTTTAGATGATGTACCCACTACCCTAAGCATATGATTCTGCACTCTGCCAAGGGAACACGGTCAATTAAAGCTGAAACATTGTAGGCCTGTCACACAGACTTCAAAAATTTGGAATCCGAACTTCTATTCATCAATGAAAAATCAGGTTCTGCATTTTCAGTTTCTCCTTGTCTCTTTTCTCTCTTCTCTCGCTCCCATATTCTATATCAATCAAATTTCTTCTCAAATTTCTGCTACAAGATGTTTAAAAGATCAAAATCAAGGAAGAAACATAAGGGGAATCTTCCTCTGCTGCTAGCAACGCTGGTGGACACGTTGAAGCATGGTTCAATGGAGACATTGACAAGATGAACAACTTCATTTCAAACTTTAGCCAAAAGCAACTGGTGATTTCTAAATACATTAAGTTTGTTTGGTTGGATGAAGAAGGTT